TTGTTGTCATTGTGATATCCTGGTAAGTTGTCCAAGCTGGTCTCAGACTTGTAGTCCTCTTGCCTCAACCTCCTCAGTAGCTGAGATTATAGGCACATGCTTCCATCATGCTCAGTTTAATTTAGTTTTTAAACTGGTCTCTTCCCTAGTGCGTGCATGTGTGTGTGTGTGTGTGTGTGTGTGTGTGTGTGTGTGTGTGTTTTGATACTCAGGACCTTGTGCTTGCGAGGCATGCGGCTGCACCACTGAGCTAATTCCCCAGCTCTTCTTCCCTAGTTTTAAAAAGTTGGCTGGAGGGTGGAGGTTGTGAAGGGACAGGTGTGGGGGACCCTAGGGATGATGGGAATGGGAGAGGCAGGTGACCCTGCCTTTGCTAAGCTGTGTGACCCGGCAGGAGCTGGGCAGGGTGGGAGGTGAAGGGATGGAGAGACCCTGCCTTGCCCTCTTGGACTTGAGTCTTTGAGGTAGCAGTAGGCGGGTCCAGGCGCCCCCGCCCAGGAGCTGCTCCATCACCCAAAGGGACACAGGCGTGGCCTCTGCCAGGAGCAGTGTGCAGCACAAGGGGAAGGAGGGGCCCGCCTTGGTGATGCTCCCAGGCTTTGGGATCGGGAAGCGGGGAGGGAGTGCGGTCGGGGAGGACTTCTGGAGGAGCTGGGCATTAGCCTCTGCGTGTGTGGGAAGAACATGAGGACCGCAGCAAGGGGAGGTGCGGGCATGGGCCGGGTGGGTGTCTGCGTGTCTCCTCAGCGTGGTGGGAGGGATGACGTCATGTGGGTTGTTGTCACAGGGCCCTTCCAGCAGCTGTCGGGAACCAATTGTGGGGGCCCAGAGGGAAGGAAAGTCCAGCTGGGGCTGATGCCGCTGGTAAGGCCTCGTGGCTTGATGGCTGGGACTGCACCGGGACAGAGGGTTGGTGACAACGGGCCTATTCAGTGGGGCGGGGGACCTGCCCTTTCACAGAGGGAGCAGGTGTCGCCTGGCTGGGTCCTCAGGAGGCCAGGAACAGAAAAGCAACCTCCCTCGGTGGTTCCCAGATGAGGTGCAGCGAGGAGAGGGTCACCATGCATCCAAAGCAGGACCGCCCTGCCTCCTGCCGTGGTCTGGGCTGAGAGCTGGGGGGACATACTCCTCCGCGCCGGTTACAGGTGTGGACCCAGCTCCGTGTCCTGGGCATGGAGGTTCAGGTCTGTAGCAGCCCAGGGTGCTGGGAGAGGACTTGGAGACTGCAGGGAGAGACCAGGGCCAGCTGGTGTGGTGTGTGTGATGCTGCACCAGGATGGCTGAGGGGCGGGGAGCGGGGTGAGTTCTAGCCGTGGTGTGTGTTGGGCCGTCTCTGAGTTGCTTTGCTTACATTCAGTACTTCATCCTCACGTAGTCTAGCAGGAAGTGCTATTACAGTCTCCAGTCTGTCATGGGGAACTGAGGCTTGGAAGGGTTACCGCACACCAAGGTCGAATGACTGAGGGGCAGTGGGAAGAGAATTCGGCCAGTTTTTGGCCAAAGCCATATGTCCCACAGGGCAAGAACCACCGCGTGCCCTGCTAGGCATGGGGACTTCTGAGACTCACTGCTCTGCCAGCCCTGCCTCTGCTTGATGATTGGGGGTGATAGTGCCACCAACAGATGTTTACTAGGTTGTTACCTGCAGCGGGCTTTGGGTTCGGCCCTGAGGACCTTGAGCTCTCTGAAGGCTGTCCTCAGGACTGTAGAGGACTTGGGCTCAGAGCAGGGCTGGCCAACAGAAATGGAAGTGAGTCTTTCTTTTGTTTCCTGTCTTTCTTTGCCCTGTCTTTTTTTCCCCCCTCCCTCCCTTCCTCCCCACCTTCTTTCTTTTCTTTCATTCTTGCCTCCAACTCACAGGGACCCTCCTGCCTCAGCCTCCCAAGTGCTGAGATGATGGGCATGTCCAAAGTAACTGTATGCTTTTCCGCATGCCAGGCAATGTATGGGGGTCCCTTGTGCCAGTGCTTTAAAAACTAACTGTCTTAAAAGATGGTCCTGAGTGTCTTTCATGTGCTTATTTGGTATTCACATGTATCTTTGAATTTTTTGCCCATCACTAACTTGTTCTTGTGAGTTGACTATGGAGGTATGAGAGTTGGCACCTCTTCTTGGGTCACTTAAGTGGGATGGCATGTGACACACACCGGGCAGCTGGGATGTCCATCCCAAGGCCCCCTCTGTCATGTGCTCTCCCTTGGTGTGTGGCTTTGCCACGGCCCCCGAAGCAGTGGGACCAACCAAGGTGGGCTGAAACCTGCAACGCTTTGAGCTGAAATAGCCTGTCCTTTTCGGGGGTGGGTGGGAGGATGGGGATTGAACTCAGGACCTTCACACTGATGTACATTCGCAGCTCTTTCTACATTTTTACTTTGAGACAGGGTCTTAGTGGTTAAGTAGTCCAGGCTGGGTTCAGACTTGTGATTTCCTGCCTCACCTTCCCAGAGTGCTGGGATTATAGGTGTGTGCTAGCTTTTCTGGCTGAATCTTTCCTCTTTAAACTGATTCTTTCAGGTAGTATTTTGTTAGAGCAGCATAATGCTGCCTGCCATAGGCATCGCTGTTTATAAACCACCTAGCCCCTTGGCCCTCCCATTTACAGTCTTGTCTCACCCTAGCCCGCCACCCTCAGGGTCCCCCAGGAGAGGCCTGGGCCCTGGGAGCCCACCCACCCCTCCTGCCTTGCTGACCACTGTCCTTGGTAGTGGACAGCAGGCTGCAATCACTAGGATGGCTGACTTCAGGAGCCACCGGCCTACCGCATCCTTCACTGTCTCTTTATGGCTGGGACACTGAGGCCCAGAGAGAAGGAAGCTGCCCAGGCCCCCATAGCATGAGGCTGACAGGATGGAGGCTCCTGGGCTGGCGAGACCCCCTCGGCTGGGTCCAAGGGGTTTTAGGGTCTTAGGGGCTGACAGAGCAAGAAGCCCAGGGCTTCCATATATGTTGAGACCGGTGCGGTTTTCACAGGATCCTGTCCTTCCCCTACCCCTAGCTGCGTCTTCTGCTCCTGCAGCTGTGCATGTCTGTATTGTCTTCCAGGGCACCGGATGGGGCTTGTCATTGCCTGGGAGCCCGGGTGAGGCGAGGGGACCAAGATGTGAGGCAGCTAAAGGGGGACAGGAGGCAGAGGTGTCGGGCTGACCTGAGCCCTCTGGGACCAGTCTGGGGCTTGGCCTTGGCCCTACAGCTGTGGCCAGCTGTGGCCCCCCTCAGGCCCTCTTCCTCTCCCTGTGCCCCTGGCTTGGAGGCTGTTCCCACACACCCCCCCTGGGCTCAGGCTGCTGGGAGGGGTCTGGGAAACTTCAGCTGTGCTGTTTGGGGCCTGATAGCTCTGGGGCCTGGAGAGGTGGAAAGACAGCTCCCGCTCTGCTGATGCCAGCTGGGGTCCCCTGTGAGCCTCTCTCACTCTCTCCCATCTGTTTTTCTGTTTCGGAACGTAGGGGCTCATTTTTTCCACCTTAGACAAAGAACAAAACAAAAAGGCGGAGGGGTTGGACAGGGTGCGAAGATCTGGATCACAAGGCGTGCGGGTCGGCAGAGTTGGTCACGAGGCGCCTGGGAGTTTTCGAGGATGGCAGGGCTGAAGGGGGACTTCCCAGCGGGAGAGGAAACTCTCCCAGCAGTGGTTTGAGCGGGTCCTGGGAGGGCGGTGAGTGGTATTCGCTGTCTTTCTCTGAGAGTCGCTAGGGCAGAGGGGTCTCCTGGGAAGGAGCCTGAGTACATAGGTGGGGGAGGCCTGGTGAGCATCTGACGGGGGCGGGACTGGGGCTGCCCTTCAGGGTACCGTGAGGTCGGCCCGCAGACTGGACTGGCCCTGGGACCCCGCTGTCCCCTGCTGGTCCTGGGAGGGAGGCGGGTGTGGACGGGGATAATTGGGAGTGGATCTTCCCCATTGCAGGCCGCTGGGCGGTCTTTATGGTCTCCTGCCTGGAGCAGAGCTGTCACCACGCAGGGGGCTCAGGGCTGGCGAGACAGGTCACCCCTGTCGTGCTGGCCCATCGATGCTGTGCGGGTTGGTGCGGAGTTCCCAGCTGCTCCCTTCGCAGTATGCCTGGCCCTTGGAGCTGTTCCCAGCCCCCAGCACCTCAGTCTCCCAGCCCTCTTCCCCACAGGGGCATTTCCATATTTGATTCACATAGGTTTTAACTTTATCATCCTGTGTTCAGAGGAGAAAAATCAGAATATGCAGGTGAGCAAAAAGGAGGGACTAAAAGTTGTCTGTGATCTCTCTTGGAGAGAGCTCGCTGAGCACCCTGAGGTGACTCCTCAAACACAGCGAGGGTGGCGTGGTCACAGTTCTGTGCCTTGCAGCTGCTCCGCCTGTTCCCATTTCCTGCGTGGCTTGGGCTTCGGTCCACCGGCTCCATTTCATGGCACCTTGGAGGGGTCAGCACTTGCCCTGCTGGGGACCGGAGGCTCTTTCCAGTGCTGTGTTCTTAGGAATAACACCCGTCACCGACAGCCATGGTGGCTCACTTCTCACGTGTGTGCTTCTCACGTCCTCGGCAAAGAGCTCTACAGGGCGCTTCCTAAAGCCTAAGGACACCCAGCCTCCTTCCGGATCCCACGCGGATGCTGGTGTGGAGTTGGATGGTGTTTTGTTTTGGTGCCTGATTTGCTGACAGTTCTCCTGTGCTGGATGTCTCAGTCTTCGTTTCATAAAATTCATAGCTAAGAATATCCTCCTGTGTGCTCATTTTGGCAGCATGGCTGATGATACTGGAATGATAAGATTAGTAGAGTCTCAGGGAAGGAGGAGGCATGAATTCATGAAGTGCCCCTCCCTGAGAGTGTCCGCCTGCATCCTGTTTCCCTCCAGGCCCTTAAATCCAAGTGCTCCTCCCCTCTGGGCATCTCTCTGCCCTGGGAGCTCCCCACCTACTATGCTGCCGTTTTCTACTTGCGCCAGCCTAGAAGGCCTGGCCTTTGTCTGCACCACTGGAACCAGCTACTCAGAACCTTGGACGTGCTGTGGGTGGCTAACCCCTTTCTAATTGTCCTATTTTCACTAGGGGTTGCTCTTTGCATCTTCTCCAGAGTATCAGCAGGAGGCCAGGCACATGGCCGCCGCCCTGGGAGCCTGTCACTTTCTGAGTCTTGGCGGAGCCTGCCCGTGTTTGGAGTCGCAGTGGTAGCTCTGCTTGCAGTAGGTGGCAGGCTGGGGTGGGCCAGATCCCTTCCTGTGGTGGCTCCTTCCACCCCTGCCTGCACTGTATGCCTTCTCTCCCCACAGGTCTTGGGTCCTGAGGCTGCCGGCTGACTATGGGTACGACGGCTAGCACAGCCCAGCAACCGGTCTCGACGGGCACCCCCCTCGAGGGTCTCCAGGGTGGTGGCACCATGGACAGCCGGCCTTCATTTGGCACCCACACCTTCCATTCCACAAGCCTGCACAACAGCAAGGCCAAGTCCATCATCCCCAACAAGGTGGCCCCTGTTGTGATCACGTGAGTGGCAGGGGAGTGTGCCCATGTTCCTGGAAGACATGGCGGCCCTGGGGACTTGAATGGAGGTGGAATAGTGTGAACACCCAGTGCTCACAAATGGCTTTCTCTGTTCCATAAATGAAGACGCAGGTCCAGAGACAATAAGCAGTTTTTATGGAGTCACACAACAACCTGGATCTCAGAGCCCATGTTACTTATCACAGTGCCAGCAAGCAGTGGAGAAGGGGAAGTGGCAGGAGGGGCACCCTTTTGAAAACGATTTTTTTGGGCCGGGCATGGTGGCTCACACCTGTTATCCCAGCACTCGGGAGGCTGAGGCAGGAGTTCGAGACCAGCCTGGACTACATAGTGGGTTCCAGGTCAGTCTCAACTGCATAGTGAGACCCTGTCTGAAAAAAAGAAAATGATCTAAAAAAGAGTTTTTGTTTTTTTGGTACTGGGGATCAAACTCATGACCTTGCACTTGCAAGGCAAGCACGGTGCCACTGAGCTAAATCGCTGGACCTGAAAATGATTTTTAATTGAACAGTTTTCAAGGAAGTATATTCCAAGTATTTAGGTTCATAGAATTTAGACTTTTTTCTTTCAAAGCCAGCCATTATGGCTCAAAACTGAAGTCAGTACTTGGTTAAGGGCCTTAGGCTGAAGAAACAGGAAGTTGCTAGTTGATGCTCCTAGGTGAGTCCTTCAGAAACAGTCCCTGAAGGGTGAAAGATTTGACCTGGCACCCAGTTTAGAGAGACCTGGACACATGGCAGCAGCCAGAGGAAGAGGGTCCTGAAGGGGCCCAAAACCCTGTCTGTTCCATGGAGTTTCCTGGAGGAAAGAGCGGGTGCCAGGAGCTGGAAAGGAACATAGAAAGGACATTGGGTGTGTCCCCTGGGGTGTCAGGGAGCCTAGCATTTTCCATGGCATCTGCCTACCATGGTTGCCTGCCTCTGGCAGGAAGTAAGATCCAATGAGCTGTGCATTCAATATGCAGAACATGAAGTTTGCAGAGCCCTGGAAATGGGGTTTGTAAGGAGGCCAGAGGGGGTGGAAATGATAAATCCTGTCTGATTGTCCTGGAGCCAGGGGAGGGGTAATCATAATAAACTGTGGTGTCTGGGACAAGGGGAGGAAAAGAGGTGTCATATGAAAGAGAACTACAGAAGTAGGTTTGGGCCTTGAGGACAGCATGGAAAACACTTGTCCAAGACCTGGCTGCAACTCTTTTCTGCTCTGTGGCACTGGATAATTCCCTTTTCCCTTTCTGGGCTTCAGTTGCCTTATCAACATAAGTAGAGGTGACATTAGCAATATTTCCCCAGGGCCGGAGATTAAGCTCAGTGGTTCCACTGCCTGCCTTGAAAGTGCAAGGACCTGAGTTCAATCCCTGGTACCAAAAAAAAAAAAAAAAAAAAAA